GTTTTTACAAAAATAAATTAGAGATGTGGAGAATCAAGCTGTTGATATTTGCTTTAAAAACTTCTCAGCTAAGTAAGATAGAATCATACAGCATGGAAACAGACCCTTTGGGCCAACTCACCTGCGCCGATTACCACTTCCTCTGGCAGCTCATTCCATACCTCTGAATAAAAATGTTACCCCTCAGAACCTTTGAAAATCTCTCCCCTCTCACCTTAAACCTATGGCCTTTAGTTTTGGACTCCCCCCACCCCTAAGAGGAAATCTCGGCTAGTCACCCTATCCATGCCCCTCATGATTTTAAAAACTTCTACAAGGTCACCCCTCAGCCTCCAATACTCCAGGTTGGAAAGTCCAGGCCTATTCAGCCTCTCCCTGCAAGTCAAACCCTCCAGTCCTAGCAAGATCCCGATAATTTTTTTCTGAACCCTCTCCAATTTAATAACATCCTTCCTACAGCATAGCGACCAGAGCTGTATGCAGTATTCCAAAAGTGGCCTCACCTACATACTATACAACCTCAACACGACATCCCAATTCCTATACTCAGTGATCTGAGCAATGAAGGCAAGCATGCTAAACACCTTTTTAACCATCCTTTCTACTGGTGATGCAACTTTCAAAGAACTATGTACCTGAAACCCTAGGTTTCTCTGTTCAGCCCTACCATTAATATAGTAACTCCTGCCCTTGTTTGTTTTACCAAAATGCAATACCTCACAAATATCCAAATTAACCCCATCTGCCATTCAGCCCGAACAGTCCAAATTCCAAAGTTATTTGCTTTGCATCAATGTACTTTCCTGCCTACCTCTGACTTGCTTTGGGTTTCAACCAGAATTCAGAATGAACAAGAAAGGTGGTGGAAACACAGTGATTTCAACGTGAAACTACAAAGGCAATTTAAAAAAAGCTTGTAGAGGCAGGATATAGTAAAAAGGAAAGGATTGCTCTCAGAACTGACTTGGACTTGATAGACCAAATGACCGCCACAACATAATTAGTCTGACGCAAACTGCTAAGATTTAACATAATTAAAATTCACAATCTTTCATCAACTCACAAATATAATAAACATTCAGCAAATCAGAGGCTCAACGACAGTACAAAATATTTCTGCTTCAAACAGATTGAAAACCTCCCAAAATGGCTGTTAAAACATGCCGAGAAAGGAAATTTGAGATCCAACAGGACACCTGAATTTAAGTGATATAGCTTATATTTTGTAATAAGACTACTGTGTCGTCACATTATTCTTTTATAATTAAAAACAAAATCTAGATCTCGATACAGAACATTACCTCCTAGGCCCTTTGTTTGTACTGTTAGTCAAATACTATTGGTTCAAGACTTCAGAGCAGACATCTTGTGAACTGTCTTGTCTCTTCCCTGTCATCACTGAAGCAGAACTTTGTCGTCACAGCATGGGAACTTCAAACAAAATGTCTGCCTCTGAGCTGCTAAAAGCCTAATAGTCTGAAAGTGGCTAACACCAGGGAAAGGTTCATTGATCTGCACAGAGGGTTTTCCTCATATTAGGATTATCTGAGAACTCAGTCCAAGATTTTTCCTTTTAATTCTACAGTCAAAATGCTCAATGTCTTCAAACTAAGGAGTAATTTTACAGCAAATTGGTTACATACTTCCATAAGAAACCGTCCCTTCAAAGTTGAATAGAAGGCCTTTCATTTAAAGCTTTTCTACCAACAAACATTAATTTGTGTTGGCTTAATTTCACATGAAGGTCAAAGGTGCAAAATTTTACATACGTTACTGATGAATAATCCAATACATAAGGATAATTTCAGTTGAGCAGAACTTGAAATTGGTAAATAACTTTCAGGTATTAAGGTAACTGGACACCAAAATACTTCAGTCATTTATGTGGGCAAACAATGTTAAACACTGCTCTCCATCAATCTCAGCAACGTGTATAATTGAAAGAAAGGGGTCATTCCAAAAGCAGAACTATGATTACACATTGTTGACTGGTCCGCAAAACTTATTATTTCAGCACCCCCCCACACCCAAGCTAAAACTCCAGAGTTCCACAAGTGTCATACAAGCACATACACAACACTGAGCTGTGCCCTACAAATACAACAAGAAAAGTATCATGACAAATGTCAACATGTAGATATTGTCAAATCAACCTGTTAAGAGATGTTATGACAACCTGTGCTGCAGGCGCGAATTAAACCCAGGCCTCCTTGTTCAGGAGGTAGGAACACTACCATTTGAATACAATGGCCCCTGACACTAATACGTGTACTTTTCTAAGCACCTTCTATTCAATTACCCACTAAATTAAATCAATGATGACAGCAAATACATTTCTGCTGTTAGATATCTCTCACTGGGCTTGAATAACTAGGATATGGTTCATACACAACTGCGCTACTTAACAACACTTGCAACATAAACTGGAATTATGGAGTACAGCAAGACGAATCTATACCTTATTATGAATCAAGTACATTTCTAGGGATTCATATGCACAAAGTTCTAGTTACGAAAAGAATAAATTTTTCTGAAGAACATATTTAACGAACATAACTCAATCAATCTCCATCTTGTCAGCAGGCTTTGTTTAAGAAACAAAATGCGTTCTACTTTTTATACCCTTTTAAAGTGAATCACTAAATCTTAGTTCAATCACTGGACTAAAGGCAAATTTTTAAAAACTAATTAGCTACATGCTTGAAGTTTTTCTGAATTGGAAGTAAGGTATTCTGCAAATCAGAAAAACTTTAAGATAACAGTTCACTGTCCACATTCTGAAAATTCTCTACAATCCTCCCATTAGCTATCCCCTTATCACCAAGCAACTGAGTTTGTGAATCCTTTTCAGTCAAAATGCTTGCAACATTGAACAAAACATTTGTCATTTATCAAAACAGGCATAACATTCTTATCATTAATTCTGCACTCATTTCAAAAATCCTGCCTCACCCTTAGACCCCAACTGAAAACAAGACAAATCTCTGGAATGATATCAATTGCTTGTCACTATGGTATCAATGGCAAAATCTTCCTTCCTACATATATCCAATTACTTAAACGTCTACTTTATTTCACCACAGTACTGCATTACTCCATTCAACAATATCTACCAGAATAAGCAATACAAAATGTAGCCCATCCAAACGCAGAGATTTTCCACAGGAAAAATTACAATATAAAATGAAACTACAGCAATAACATTCATCCTTGCAAGAACACAACAGAAAATTACTACACAACGTTTCATTAATACAATAAAATGATCACAAAAGGAAAACGTTTGCCCACGCTGACTCAGCAAGATCAACCTGTGCCTTATGCTATAGCCCTGAAAATTATTAATTTGGGGTTGGCTAAATTGTGACACCCTGTACCTCTCCAAGATCATAAGTGAAGAGTTCCCCCAATAAAATAGGGGGCATGGGAGATTACAGTTGAGTTCAGTAGTCCTACTAGCATTCAGTGTCCACCAACAATCAATTACTGTGTTCACAATTAGAAAGGAATCTTTGGACTTTTCCTCCTCTTTGACCTTGGAAGTGGAGAAGTCAGGTTAAAATAATTACCGCATTAAAGAGGGAGGACCTGCCAGGCTGCACGGGTCTATCGCAGACAGTACATGGCTCAGAAGAATAATTCCTTTACCCCGCCCCCCCAGGGTCGGGGATGCAGGACGAGAAGAAAAACATATTGATCAATATTGAAACAATTCAGGTACGCACAAGTGCATGGCGCGCCGATCAAATAACCCCGAACACCCGAGATAAGGGAAGATGGAGCAGACTTCCCCTTGCCCCGAGACAGGGCCATTATTGTGATGTCACAGTAATCACCGCCCTGCCTCCGCATCAAAGAAAACAGTCTAACATCAAAATAAACCGCACTTTTGACACTATGTCGAAGAAATCTTTGAAAAGTGTTAGCTGTCTCGCATCCAGTTAGCAGTGAAACACAGAATCAGCACCAAGAGACGGAGCGGGTGGGCAATCCTTACCTTCCACAACCCCGCACAGGAATTTCTTCTTCTCGCCGCCAACAGGATCGGGACGTTGGGACAGAGGGCGATTATCAAGTCCGCCATTGGCCGTGGCCGACTCTTGAGGGGGTGGATCAGCAGAGGCGGCCGCTGCGTCGCCAGCCGGGTTCGAATGGCTGGTCTCGGAGTCCGGAGGGCCAGGCCCGGGTGTCGGGGCGGGAGCAGGGTTGGAGTCAGTGGGGGGTACAGTATCAGTGTCGCCCTCCTCCGGCCCTCCGGCCGCCTTCTCTTTCTGCACCATCGACAGCTCGGAATGAGCGGATCCGCGCATCAAACCCGGGCAATTCCCTACACTGCGTCCGCCCACGCAAACAACGGTGTAAATTCTAAAATTTAAAAAATACTAAATATACTTATTTATAAAGTAATATTATCCCAGTGCTTTATCTATATTAAATATTTTTTCCCCTCAGACGCTCGCGAATCTTTGCCTTCCGTCCCTTGTTGTCCCGCAAAGCACGCTGGGACTACCCCACCCCCACCCACTCCGCATGCGCAGTTAGCACAACCACCGAGCCTTCACACAGAAACTACGATATTTTTTCAGTCAGAGCCTCCATTTTTAACGTTACTGCTAATTTCGCAGTGAAAACCTCCTCGTTTGACGTTTATTTTAATGTTTTACTGTTGGGTATTGTCCCGGCGGGGGTTGACGGGAGGCAGACTGCGCATGTGCGTCATCTCTATCACCTCGAAGTAGTGACAGAAAATTGATTCTTTCACCGAAGTAAATAGAAATTAATATATTCTTGTTGCTTTACTGTAGCTATCCGTGTTTATTTTCTGTGTTCCGGTCCAGTTTTTTAAAAATATATAATTTCCTTGTCCTGAACGGGATGCTGGGAGTTGGTATGACGCTCCTGCGCAAGTGCGGAAACCGCCTGAAACCAGTGTCAACCGGTTTATTAAAACGCCCATTTTTATTCGCAAATACTTTTTCAATTTTTAGGAAAGAAATGCTTTATGGTCAATCAATCGCTTCTTATTTCGTGGTAATTCTTGGTTGTGATTTTCTGAAGGTCCAAAACTTAATTGTTTCGAGATTCGCGTATGTTAATGTTCCTTTTTTAATGAAAGTGGTGTTTGCGGCTTTGCCATAGTACGCAGGCGCAGCAATCGGGGCGGCTACAATCGGTATCACGCATGCGCTTCAATCATTCTCACCGATGGGGAGTCGGGAATATGCAGTTAACCAAGTCCGGAATTCCTTGTGCACGTGTGCTTGGGCTCTAACCCAGCCTCCGGTGAAACAGAGGGAGGAAGGGCCGAGAGGGAAAAAAAAATCGCTCGGTTGTTATTTAACTTGCTCTTTCAGCAGTTACTATAGCAACTGATCCCTCCTTTTCACTCCTCCAATCGTTAACTTGCTGTGCTTTGCATTAGGTCGTGTGAGAGCCCTTTCTCTAAGGGCAGTGGACTGGGGGTGGGGAATATTATAGCATAAACAAACTTTGTGCAAGAACTGGTGATATCGAATCCCTGGACAAAATACAACTGAGTAATCATCGTTTTTAGTCTCTTTGTAGTTGTAACCCCAGTTGTATTTTGGAAAGCAAACGTTTTTCAATGTCAGAGAGCAGAAGCTTTCTTGTCCTTGAATTATTAGCTGAGCCATGTTTGCTCCCAAATGTAATTTTATCTAATAATTTTATTATGATTAATGGTATAAATTTACTGAATTTTGCAACTTCTGCAGAGGAATACAACGGGAAACATATTTAAACATCTGTCCTTCGCCCTGCCTTCCCTCCACACCACTAAAAAAATGGTTCTAAGATAAACTTAATATTGAGGTGGAAAATGTAACCAACCATGAAAGGATTTAAAATGAATAAATCCCTAGAGATAGATGGAATTTATGAATGTGGGGAGACCAACATTTGTAAAGCTGTTATTCTAAAGCAGTTAGTGGATGCTGGGCAGTTCTGAATTCAGAAGCAGGCTAATATGATGCCAGCATTCAAAAACTGAAAAAAGTCCTGAGGAAGGGTCACCGAATCAAAACTTAACTCTGATTTCCCTTCACAAATGCTGTCAGACTTGCTGAGCTTTTCCAGCAACTTCTGTTTTTGTTTTGAAAAATGCATAAGTCTGATTCAAATTCTATGTAGAATACGGAATTAATTTTGAGAAGTAAATTGAGGATTAGAGGTTAAACAGCTTTTGGATGTGGAAGATCCTGCCTGCCCAAATTCCTTGAAATCTTTGATGAAAGTTACAATCCAAGACACTAGTAAATCCTAAAGTGTTTGTGCTTAAACTTCAAATAAAAAAAACACCATTTGAGAAAGTTCCAAATGAAAAATTAAAACTCAAAGCATTTGCTTTGGCTGGCTCAGTGGTTAGTACTGCTGCTTCACAGCACTAGGGACCTGGGTTCAATTCCACTCTCAGGTGACTGTCTGCGTGGAGTTTCCTTCCACATTCCAAAGTTGTGCAAGTTAGGTGGATTGGCCATGCTAAATTGCCTCATAGTGTCCGGGAATGTGTAGGTTAGCTGTGGGAAATATAGGGTAGGGGGATGGGTTTGTGTGTGATGCACTTCAGAGGGTCAGTGTGAACTTTGGCCAAATGGCCTGTTTCCACACTGTAGGGATTCTATGGAAGCATTTGAGATTCAGGGAAAGTCTTGTCTATTGTGTGGAGAAAACCTGTTCATATATAGTTTTCCTTTTCCCTTACAACTTTGGAATATCACAAACACTTATCAGCCAATCAAATACTTTTTACATGTCACTGTTGTTGTGGGATAGGAGACTAAGAGGTGTTTAGAAAACAACAGACTTCCACTTTGTTAGAAAGAGCAGATGTGCAGAGTATTTCTTAATGGACCGAGATTAGAAATTGCAAATGTAGGGACCTGGATGTCTTCATCAATAAGGCACATAAGGCTTACATGTGTAGCAAGCAACAAGGTAGACCAATGTTATGTTAGCATTTATTGCAAAAGCATTTGAGTACAGGGGGAGCAAATGCTTGCTTCAATTCTATAAAGCCTTGGTTAGGCCACATTTGGAGCACTGTGTGCGGTTTTGATCTCCTTATCCTGAGAAGGATGTAATTGCTGTAGCGGGAGTCTAGCAAAGGTTCACCAGACTTGTTGCTAGAATAGTGGAATTGTCCTATGAAGAGATATTGGGAAAAGTAGAGCTGTATTTTCTACAGTTTTGAAGACTAAGAGATGATTTTGTAGAAATTTGTAAAATACTTGAAGAGATAATGCAGATAAGATATTTTGTTTGGTCGGAAGTTGAGAACTAGGGAACACAATTTCAAAATAAAGGAGAAGCCACTTAGAAGAGAGATGAGAGAACTTTATTTACTCAGATGGTAGTGAATCTTCTGAATTCTCTACCCCAGAAGCTGTAGAAGCTCAAATATTGAATTTCTAAATACCAATTACATAAAGGGATATGGGGGTAGTGTCAGGAAAAAACATTGAAGCAGATGATCAGCTTTGATTATATTGAATGCTAGGGCAGGTTTCTTAGGCTTAATGGCCTACTCATGCTGCTTTGTTGCTATAAGGTTAGACCTCTGTCTAGAGAAACCGGAGGAGGCCATTTGCTCCCTGGTCCATATTCTGCTGTTCATTAAGATCATGGCTGATCTGCAACCTAACTGTCTATGCCTGCTTTTGGTTCATTCTTTAATTTCATTGGTTATCAAAAATCTGTTAATTTCAGTTGTCTAATTTCACTCCTGAAAGTTCTGGCTCTCATTTTTAACTTGTCCCCTAATCCAAGACTCTCCAACCAATAGTTTCTCTCTATCTAGTGTGTCTCTTCCCCTTGGTACTTTCAAAACCTCAACTAAATTACCTGTTAACCTTCTGAATTCCAGTAAGTACAAATTTAGTTTGTGAAATCTCCTCCTCATAAATTAACCTTTTGAGCTTACCATCTTGGTAAACCTAAGCTGTGCTCCCTTCCTAAGGTCTACTTTCCTGAACTGCTCACAGTAGTTCTAGGTGTGATCCAATGAGAATGATCTAAGCAAAGTAAGATGAAAAGAAAGGTGAAATTTCAGGTCATCAAGCTAATTTAACAATTTATAACTAGGCTTGAAACTTGGATAGTGGAAGTTTAAGGAGATCCAAGGGATCTGAACAAATGCAGCAGATCTAACCAAAACAGAAGTGTTCAGCAAAGGATGTTAAAATGTTAGAATGTTTAAAAAAAACACAGCAACAACAACTTGTATTCATATAAACATCCTAGGATGCTTCACAAGAACATTATCAAATAACCAACACTGCTTCAAAGAAGAAATTACTAAAATGAAGGCACCAAAATCTGTTGTTCTGTCCCGCTCTGAACTTATATGATCTAGTCTGTCATGGTGGGTAGTCTTGTTTCCGCTTTTGTGCTGCAGCGGTATATAGATAGGGCCTATTTCAGCATGTTTGTCTTTCACACCGGTGGTTGAAAACCAGGCCTCCAGGAATTCTCATGCTTGTCTTTGTTTTGCTTGTCCTAGTACTGTAACATGGTCCCCGTTAAATTGATGTCCTTCTATGTCGCAGTGTATTGAAACAAGGAAGAGTTGGTCATGCCATTTTGCTGTGAGTTGGTGTTCATGTATCCTGGTTTTTGGCGAGTTTCCTGCCCATCTGTCCAATGTAGTGTTTCTTGCAATTGCTGCATGGTATTTTGTATATTACATTTGTCCTGCTCATTGTGGTATGGGGTCTTTCTTCTTTGAGAGTAACTGGTGAAGTGTGGCTTTTGGTTTGTGTGCTATCCTTATTCCATGAGGTCACAGGAATCTTGTAGTCAGTTCTGATGTGTTTCTAATATAGGGTGGGATGGCCAGTGTGTTGAGGCGTACAGTGTCTTTTTGGTGTTATTTATTTGCTAGGCATCGACGGACTAATCTGTTGGGATACCCATTTGCATATGTGTTCCTGTTCGTTTTTGCATGCCTCTGGAGTGTTGCAGTATATTTTTGCTCATTTAAACAGAGTCTTGTCACAGTTCTATTTGTGGACACGGGTGGTTATTGTTATAAATTCAGGGTTTAGTCTGTGTGTGTAGTCTTTCTGTATACGCTGGTAAGGAATTCACTGTTGTTTGTTCATTCCACCATTACATCTAGAAACGGGAGTTGCTTGTTGTTCTCTTCTTCCCTGGTGAACTTGATTTGGTGAATATGCTGTTAATAAGGTGGTGTGTTTCTTCTAACTTTACTTGTTTAATGATCACGAAAGTATCGTCTACCAGGATACACAAACACCAACTCATAGCAAAATGGCACGACCAACTCATCCTCATTTCAATACACTCCGATATAGAAGGACATCAGTTTAACTGGGACCGAGTTGCAGCACTAGGACAAGCAAAAAAAGACAAGCACGAGAATTCCTGGAGGCCTGGTTTTCAACCACCGATGCGATAAACAAACATGTTGAAATTGACCCCATCTACATACCACTACAGAACAAAACCGGAAACAAGACTATCCACCATGACAGACTCACCATATAAATTCAGAGCAGGACAGAACAACAGCGCTTCAGCAGAGGCTAGACAGCACTGAAGATGTCACCTAGAAGGGTGATGAAACATTTGCACAAAAACCAGTCAGCTCGGTGAATCAACCAACAACTCCACTGTAGACAGTACTCCAAAAGTGGCCTCACCAATGTCAATGTCCTGTACAGCTGCAACATGACTTCCCAACTCCTATACTCAATGTTCTGACCAATGAAGGCAAGTGTGCCAAACTCCTCCTTCACCATCCTCTTTACCTGTGATTTACCTGAACCCCTAGGTTTCTCTGTTGGGACGACATTGCCCAAGGCCCTATCATTAACTGTTTAAGCCTCACCCTTGTTCGTCTTTACAAAATGCACACCTCGCATTTATCTAAATTAAACCCCGTCTGCCACTTCTCATTCTATTGAACCAGCTGATCAAGATCCCGTTGTACTCTTAGATAACCATCTTCACTGTCTACTATACCACCAATTTTGGTGTCATCTGCAAACTTACTAACCATGCTTCCTATATTCTCATACAAATCATTTATATAAATGACAAACAACGG